CCGACATTTAGCCAATGAGCTGACTGCCCCCGGTAGCAAGGAGCAGTCAGCTCATTCAGCAATTTCCATTCTAAGCGTCAAGCGCCTTGGCGCGACGTGCCTCGGCAGTGATTCCCGGCACGGCGGCGCTTGTGCGCCATGGACACCGAGCGGCTCGACATCCAGAATACCACTACGTTCTACCTGGACATGCAGACTACCATTACGTTCTACCTGGACATGCAGTATACTATTACGTACCTCGACAGGCAGTGCTTCATCGGGATTCTCCGGCAGCGTGCTGAGCTTGTGCGGGGCAAGTTGAAGGGTTTCGGTCCTGTACTGCTCTTGCGGATGGCTTGGTATGTTGTTGTGCGGTTCAACGGTTGAAGCTTACACGAACGACAAGAGGTGCAACAGGAACAAGCGGTTTATTACTTATGAAGAAAATAAATGCTTTCTTGAGCCTGTTGGTACTTGTTTATTCTTCTGTAGCTTCAGCTTCCACGTAAGCGTGCTCCACTCGGCGCCGTTGGCGTCTTCTGTACATGCGTATTTCGTTTGAAGGGAGGTTCACCGCCGGCTCCCAGGTTGGCTCACAGGAGGTTAGGAATTGAACGCGCCCATTGATTCGACGATCCGCCAGGATGGTCCGCTTTTGATACGTAGGTGGTCCCCGCAGGTCGGTACCAGTTGGTAGGACCCATTCCGCCTCACCAGCGTCGTCCCCAAAGCAGCTACCTCAATGAGGCGGGACTTAGTGATGCGAGATTTGGGCACAGCATCCAGCAGCCGCTTGATTGCCTCTGCGGTTGAGGCATTACCTTGTTGAACATGAACCCATGTTCTCAGGTAACGAGCCGCAGCTTCATCGAGGCGCCCCCAATCGCGGGCGCGAAGGTGTGCTTGGCACCACTTGAAGAAGGCTGGGAAGGCTGTAGGTAAGGGCAGTGTCGGTGCTGGAGCGGCTTGCCATGGTCGAAGTGATAAGAAGAATGAAAAGCAAATTGAGCACAGATAAATTTGAAGTTGAATGTGAATCTATTATTAATCAGAAAAAAAATATACAGGAAGTTCGATTTTTTTTTCTTTAGCAAGAAGCGACTGTTCATGTAGCTACCGGTTTTCATTCCATATTTAATGCATGTTGGTTTGCCAATGGGCGACCAGCAGGAACTCGGACACTGGTAGTACTAGGGCGGCGACGTTTCCTGGACATAGATCGATTAACTAGAGTCCGTTTGCCGTCCAAGCCTGTGTAACTCTTAATCTGCAGAGCAAAAAGCACATGGCTGCAGACAGCAAACTTGAAGTAGTACTTGTATCCACATGAATTCGTACTCAAATCCACGTTCCAGCCACGCTCAGGCTGCCCAGCCACTTCCATTCGCGCGTAATTAACTCTCATCTGCGCCGATACTGGACCTACCGCACGACTGCGCCCAAGCTCTGGGAGGTAAACACGCTCGCAGCCACGTGACAGCACCCTAACCACGTCTGGGTTGGGGGAAACAAGTAGGAAGTCGATACTGGATCGGCTCGGAGTCATGTCCACAAGAAGATCGCGGCAGCTAAATTCCTTAACCCTTGCATTTAACTGCTGGGTGGCCTCAGGGGATTCCTTGAAGATTCTTGGAGTCACTGACTGATGTCCGCAACAATCTGCCAGCAACTGGATCAGCGTCCCGATCTAATGTTTGGTCCGCAGTGTGTAGTCACGTTTGATCAAACGGTTAAACTTTTCCACCGGATTGTTTGTGGTGGCGTATCCACTTGGTGTATAAAAAGCATTGCCAACGCCAAAACGCGCTCGTCACTCACGTGCGTTCGAAATAGCCTCGGAACCATACCATCTGCTCTTCGTCCGACCAACTCGTTAGAATCGTTTTCACTTGTTCGTCATAGACATCTTGGCTAGCCGCAAAAAGCAGGTCGTAAACGTCCGCCATCGCCTGGTCACGTAATCGATCGGGTACGCTCTTCAGTTTTTCGTGAACTTTGGCCATCACGTGAAAGAAGCACATCAAGTACACGAATTCGCAATCCGCACCGAAGACGCGTATCACTGCGTTCTGTTGAGCTGCTTCAGCGTCGGCCATGACGAATTTGACCACCAGTTGACACTGAAGCAAAAATCCTGCGCCGTTCAGTCCGCTCCGTCACGTAAATGTCCTCCAAGCGTTGCGACGTAATGAAAAGTGCCATGAGGCGAAATGAGCGACACTTGTCAGAGATCCCACACACGATGACAGGATACCCGACTTGGTTCAACTTGAAGGTGGTATCCATGTGAAAAACGAACGACTCCGGGTCGCGAGCCGCATTCAGTTAAAGACGTTTAGTTGTCAGCCCAACTAAAAATGGTTTTTCGTCAGAGCCGTTCCCACATCTGGTTTGCCGCGGCCGTCACGTTTCCAACCAAACGAAAATGGGTTCGTGTCCGAGACGGTCGGACCATACGCCAGCTGATCGATTTGGCTCAGGATTTCGTCATAGTCGTCATTACGGTGGAGGTTCTTCTTCGAATAGCTGCTAACGAACCATTGCACCTGACGCAGCGTCGGCAACTCCGACTCAGTAAGTCCAAATCGTCGAGCCATTCCATTGCGAAATTGAGAGGGCTTGAGGCCTTACGTCACCATTTCACGACCATAATCCTTTAGCCGTGGAGTCAACTTGACCTTTTGGGGCTCCTTCACCAGCGTCTCATGAGCAGCAGTCTCCGTGATCGTCACGCGGTTAAGTCCTTGACACGTGAGAACCTTGGGCACGCGTCATACGGTGCTGCTGCCTTGCGTGTTTCCGAGGAACATCATAACAGTTGGTATGTGGCATGGTCAGCGCACACACGACGCATGGAACCAGCTGACTCTTGACGATGATGATCACCTTCATGTCTTCTATGAGCAGTTGGGAGTCCTCTCGAGCCATGTCGCTACAGACAGTCGTCCACTTGGTCGTCGTGGGCATCTTCGAGGTGGGAGACGAGATGGGTGGGAATTCTGATTTCAGTGCTCTTTCTGTATGAAAAAGATTCTTGCTAGGATATAAACGACTGTGATTGGTTCAGCGACTGTCAAAGCACAGGTCGTGATTCGCTAATATTAAGTGGTGTGTAGACACACGAGTTTGATGTGTTTTGGCCAATGCAATTGTGTCACACGTATATATTGTGTGGTGTAATGTGACATTGATGTGTATCACCCACATTGTATGTTTTGTACACATTTTCTGTGTGAAAAAACTTGGTTCTGTGTGATTTACCAGTTATGTCCAACAATTGCGTAGGTGGTGATGGGTGATTATTAATAATGCGAAAACCGGAGTATCAAACGGATGCCATCCGTCCTTTCAGATGACAGGGATTTCAGCGGTCAAAGGGCAGAATGCACGATCTTCACTGCGCTGCTGTGCTGCTTAGGGATTTGTGAATCTGAAGATGAGACGATCGACATTATCATTAAGCACACGGGGTGGCCGAAACTAAAAGTGTTGGGAATGCAACGAACTTATGGCTTCTGTCTGATGGTTCAGGATGTGATTCCTCTGGCAGTAAGTGATATTTTCATCTAGAATTAATATCTAGTTTTCTAACTAGACATCCTCTGAGAATCCTAGGGGAGGCAACAATGGTGAGCCTGTACTCGCAGCTAAATGGACCGGCCAACATATACACTATTGACCATCGTGGCACTGGACACGCTCTTCGACTGCGTGGCGTGCGATGCGTTGGGTCTAAGTGACTACAACGCCAATGGCGTTGTCTACGAGCATGAGCGATACTGGAACAAGAGTGCTACCATCCCGAGCCAAGGTAGTGTTTTATTACTGAGCAGCAAACTAAACCCCAAGACACCGCATAAGTACACCGAGTATCTTCTCGATGTGTCGAAGGGTGACAACAAGGAACTAATTGCCTTCACCTACACTACCCACGGATCGGTTGCGTGGACGTTTCTTATCGACAACGATTACAACAGTCAAACGTGCGGCATGCTGTTGTTGGCATCGTACGTGAGCAATGGAGGAGACGTGCAGAGTCTCGACAAGTTGTGTCTAAACAAGATGCCTCAGTTTAATTTGGCTGTTTCGACTGACTCCCAATGCATTTACCTGAGCACGGAAGATGTCTATGATGGTGAGTATAACCCAAGCTTACGTGACATATACACTTAGGGCGTGTTCGCGATGACAGGAAAACATCGTTCTGGGAGGGAAAACGTCGTTTTGATCCAAAACCCGCGTCGCGAACACAAAAATCACGAAAGGATACTTCAGAGGCGGAACGATGCTTTCAGGGTCATTCTGGAAATCAGGTTGACACCCGATTTCCAAAACGGATTCAGTCGATGTTCCAATTTTCTGCTCTTATAACCAGGGGTTTCCCTTTTTATACTGACATGATCTGGAGTCGGCGTCACTTTCGTTTCGGATGGATCAGAGAGCAAACTCAACATCACTCGGCATCATGGGCAAGATCACAAAGTCGTCAAAGAAGCAGGCTAAGTCAACGAAGAATCCAACACACACCAGCAGGGCATCTACGACCCCCACAACCGCAAGTCAGCAGCGCGCAACGCAGTTCACGAAGAGTTTGAGTTGCTGGATATGTACTCTGATGCACGTAAGGATGCTTCCCTTACTACCGACAAAGGTCTCAAGACCAAAGCGTGGAGCACCCTGACGGAAGCTCTGAACGCCAAACACAAGCGCTTATTACACAAAGGTAACATAGTACTTTTTTAAGCCCAGGTACTGAACGTGATATTTGTAGGTCAGTACAAGGCAAAAAGGATCGGATTATGCGCGACTACGATTTGTTCAAGGAGATCAAGGAGTTGAACGGTGTGGGAGTTTGCCCAACGACAGGCAAGCCCACGTTTTCTAATGATGTGTGGAAGAAGCTCATAGCTACAAAGCATTTAAAGCAACAACGTTCAAACAGCTCGTCAAACGCGGCAACATCCATTCGAAAGTGGTCCGAAACAAACGTCGATTGTTTGATGCATGTATTGCCTCGAAAAGCGTAGTCCGTCAGATGTAGATCGCCTTAGAAGCCTGACGGTTTTCTCATGCTCTATCCTGCACATGGAGCGCTGAACGGATAGCAGAGAGTTCACTATTGGGTACCGCAGAGTAACTTTTCGAGATCGCGAACACAAAACCCTAAAAACGTGTTCTGGGCCCTTCATCAAAGAGAAGAAAAAATTCCCAAGTTCACAAAATTATCATTCCATCAGAACGACGTTCATCGCGAACACGCCCTTAGGATTTTTTTGTCAGAAGTGTGGAGCGAGCGGCAGGCTTAACCACTCGCTCCACACTTCTGACAAAAAAATCCTAAGGGCGTCAAGGACGGATTCAGAAGAGTAACCGGATCATTGTTTAAATTAAATAGACGGTCACTCATTCCTTCAGTTGTATCGACCCTCACCAAAAAATCTCGGTGAGCGTTTCTGACATCAGCAAATAGAGATGTCGCTCAACATCGGCGTAGACATGATGTTCGTGAGTGGGTGCGGCTTACTTGCTATACAAAAAAGGATGAAAACAAACCAGAGGCTAGGTGAGATGCATTCCAATACTAAGCGTTTTTTATATTGCGATTACAAATGAAATGGGCAGTCTGTTTTCCTTGTGCTGTCAATTGGTAATGCCATGTGACTCTTTCATATTGTGAGAAGAGGTATGTCACGTCATCTGACTCAGTGGTCAATCGTGAAAGAGCTTGCCAGTGACGTTTAGGCCATCGCGATCTGCTGCGTTGATCAATG